TACAGAGACAACATCCAAAAGTTGAAGAGATAGACATAAAAAACAGTAGAAACTCATTCTCTTCCCCCCCACACACACTAGCTCAAAGGGAAAAGGTAGTTTTCAGTGGTATCTTTTCTCTGCTTCTAGAAATAATCGTAGCAGTTTCCAACCTTTCTTATTTTTTCCTCGTTCTCTTTGCATCTCTTAGCAATTAATAAAACCAGTTTTTGGTATCAAGAGATACTTGTGTTTTATTTTTGCTCAAGGGAATATTTGAATCTGAAGTTCTTTCTGCAATATTTAAGCACATTGTAATGAGGGACCATGGAAAAGGGTGCAGAGTAGAAAAGGAGGGGGTGGTCTGGTGGGTCTGATGGTCCCATGGGGGTCTTTGGGCACAGGGGGCCTGGGAAAGGGGGGTGGCCCCCTGAGCTCCCAAATTACTGTGGGGTGCTGGGGCTGCTAGGTCATGTCAACAGTTTCAGTTCAGAGGATTACAGAGGTAGGACTGAAACACTTTTGTCCCCCAGGTTTTAAAGATGGTAAATCAGATCTACTGATAGAAATTAATTATTTAGGGTTGCAAATGATCAGAAAAAAATCTTCATCAGGATTATTTACTTCACAATAGAAACACTAAAACTACCACTAGTACAGAATAAGATAGGACAGTGCTCTACACTAAAGCAATTGTTGAACCAATTCTACTCAAACTGGCACCAAAGCAAGAATTATGAACTAGAGAGGGATGGAACTCCCCCAGACCAACGCTCATGGGGAGATCTCTGCTCTCAACCTCCAGCAGTGACCTTGGGGGGTCCCAGCCAAGGCAGGAAACTCCACACACCCCCCAAGAAGGGTTCTGTTGGCACAACCTGTCCCTCGGAAAGGGTACTGGCCCTTTCTGGTAGGACTCCAGGGGTTGCCTCACCATCAGGGAGATCATTTGGGGAGGGAGTAGCAGCCCAATGACCGTTGGTGTGAGATCAAGCTAGACCTCTGGGTGAAGCTCTTCCCGCACTCTCCACACTTGAAGGGTCTCTCCCCGGTGTGGAGGCGCCGGTGGGTGACGAGGGTGGAGTTGTGTTTGAAGCTCTTCCCGCAGTCGGTGCAGCGGAAGGGCCTCTCCTCTGTGTGTATCCGCTGGTGCACGAGGAGATCTGAGCTGCTCTGAAACGTCTTCTCACATTCCAAGCACTTGTAGGGCCGTTCCCCAGTGTGGATGCGCTGGTGGTAGTGGAGGCCAGAGCTCCGGTTGAAGCTCTTCCCACATTCCCCACACGTGTAGGGGCGTTACCCAGTGTGGATGCGACGGTGTTTGATAAGGCTGGAGTTCTGCCTGAAGCTCTTCCCGCACTCTCCACACTTGAAGGGTCTCTCCCCGGTGTGGATGCGCCGGTGGGTGACGAGGTTGGAGTTGTGTTTGAAGCCCTTCCCGCAGTCGGTGCAGCGGAAGGGCCTCTCCTCTGTGTGTATCCGCTGGTGCACGAGGAGAGCTGAGCTGCTCTGAAACGCCTTCTCACATTCCAAGCACTTGTAGGGCCGTTCCCCAGTGTGGATGCGCTGGTGGTAGTGGAGGTCAGAGCTCCGGTTGAAGCTCTTCCCACATTCCCCACACGTGTAGGGGCGTTCCCCAGTGTGGATGCGACGGTGTCGGATCAGGGTGGAGTTCTGCCTGAAGCTCTTTCCACATTCTCCACACGTGTAGGGCATCTCCTCAGTGTGGGTCTGCCAGTGGGTGTAGAGGCTGGAGCGGATACTGAAGCCCTTCCCACATTCCTCACAGATGTACGGCTTTTCCCCAGTGTGGGTGGGCTGGTGTTGGATAAGGTTGGAGATGCTCCTGAAGCTCTTCCCACATTCCTCACACGTGTAGGGCCGTTCCCCAGTGTGGATGCGACGGTGTCGGACCAGGATGGATCTGTCCCTGAAGCTCTTCCCACATTCCCCACACGTGTAGGGCCGTTCCCCAGTGTGGATGCGACGGTGTGCAATCAGGTTGGAGTTCCGCCT